CGATCATCTATCATCTATCACCACAACAACTGATATAATTTCTTCCTGTCATACTCAAATGTATGTACCCACTCCTTCCTGTTTGTTTATGTCAGGTCTCCAGACAGACGATGGCAGTATCGTCGACTGGTTCGGCGACCAAAAGACTTTGCTCAAGCGCGATTCCGAGCGCTTCAGTGTTGTGATGGCGTTCGAGTGAGTAAGGCATGGTACTTACCACAAACATCACGTGGCTTCAGACTCCCATCGGTTTTAGACCGTAATTTTGCCATCTGTTTGTGGGTTCGTACTGATCATTTGTGGCACGTCATTGAATGTACACCAAAGGACTACCGGCATGTGACTACCCACACTGATGCATTCGGTTAATAGGTGGTATTTGCACACGCATATACACAGCTATGTACACAGATACATACACAGCTATACGCCCGCTCTGACACCAGTACCACGCTGTGGTCTATAGCTATGTGAAAGCTCGCACCAACAGTTAGATCGCGACAACCCCATTTCAGCACCCAAAGCCAATTGAGACCCACACCCACGTGTTATTCGGCCCTGTCCAGTTGTTTTACAGCGCCCCGTATTTAAAAACAGGACAGGTGCGGTACTTGAGGGCAACTACTGTATGTAATGTACAGTAAACGGGGCTGCAGTATATCTGGAGGGGACAGGCACCAACAGTGCTAGTTGCTGGTTGGAGAGCTATGCGGTTGGCTGTGGCCAGGTTAGTGTTGTGTCATAGACTGTACACTTCCGGATGAGAAGGGGAAAGAAAATGGGTGCAGCCCGTGACCAAAGGCACCAGAGAGGTACGCAGGGCAACCGTGGGTCAAGCCAGCAACCCCAATGAAACTTAGGACTCAGTGAAACGGACCGAGTAGCTGGTGCATTTGTTCGGGAATCGACCTTTTGAGTTGAGTGAGACAGGGGGGGCACTGGCAGGCGGTAGGCCAGAACATACTACCACCACAAAACAGACCAATTGGAATGGACAGCCATGTACCTATGGAATTAACTTTGTGCCGATCTGATTGGTTGAGGCTCAGTTTGATCTGCGTGTAGCATAAACATATCACGTGGCTATGCCGTCATGTCCAGTGGGCCAAATGTGTCCTGTGGAGCAGTTCAGCGCCATATAAAGTAACTAATACCTACCACAGTACACTTTAACTCTCAAGTCCCTGGTATTGTTTGTAACCCAATTTTTATTATCAAATCCCTAATATTATTTGTAACCTGATTTTATTTTGAAAATCCCTGATACTTTGTGTTACCTAATTTTATTATCAAACCCCTGATGTTATTTGTCACCGAATTATATTTAAAAAATCCCTGATACTATGTGTGACCTAATTTTATTGGTGCTAGTGACCTTATATGTCAGCCGATTAAACTGGTTGGTAGCGCTACCTGCTCCCTAACCGTTCTCTCAACAAAGACACGTCCGGGTCTATTTGCACCTGTACGTACTCAGCCCTATACAAATACGAACAATTCTTCGCATCCACTCCCCTCCCACTCTCCTCAGTCGACCGTTTGGCACAGTTGCGTGAACACGAATAAATGGCCACCGTGGCCCAGTCCAGATCGCTCTCCGCGCCCCGTTCTATGTAGAAGCATTGTGACGCGACGATATGAGAAGATGCGAGAGCAGAGCGTATGAATTGTGCACTGCTATTGTTGCAGCTGTTTTGCGGTACAATTAGACGGGCGTTTGTGTGGAAGTACTGGAGGGAAGGTACATACTGCGAAGGTGAGGTACTGCTGGAGATGTGTGGGTTTGTGGAAGTGTGAGGGGTATGACCACGCCTTTGGTTGAACGTTGGGAAAACGGTGTGTGGGTGCTAGAACATCGTGTGCAACACGAGGCATGTGGCGAGTGCAGACTATGTGGAAGCAAAAAGAGCACTCCATTATAAGTATTAAAATATACATGACGTACCAATGGTGTTCATACGCGTAAATGCATGAATAATACAGGGCTCACAAACACACACACACATACATATATACGTGTATATATATATATATATATATATATATGCGTGTGTGTATGTATATGCATATGCATATATATATACATATATATAACATTTCCTTTTTTCAATGCCTACCTTCCAAGCATCGGTTACTTTCTCGTGCGCAAAGTTTGTAACCAGAATGAAAGTCGCATTGGTTGTAGGTATGACCTCCTCAGGATGCTTTTTATCAGTTAGCCGTCCGTTCCGATCCAACATTTTCAGCAACAAAGGAGGTATCCCTTGAATTATAGAGTTTTTGTCAGTTTTTGGAACGGATATATCTTTTAACATATCAAAAAACGACAACACAGTAAGTTATACACTTCCTGTCTTGAATTAATAGCATATCGGGTCTGGAAACAAGATTGGCACGAAAATGAGGACTGTGTTAAGTCCCACTACCCAAATACGAAGTCGATAGAATATGGCCATTCATCAGCATGGCTTATTAGTATTTGACCTGTTATGGTATGGCTCGCTTCCCAGACTAAAAAAATTGACAAAAATAGCCTTAGATTCACACCCAAGATAGTATATGCATAAATATACTATGTATAAATATACTTAAAAAGCCATAAACAGAGCCTTAATGCACACCCGTGATAGAAAATGCATATATATATATATTGAAATAAGCCACAAGCGGAGTCCTAGATGTACACTCATGATAGAATATGCATATATATATATGCAATTTGACACACAACCTCACCTTTGCAGTATCCCTTTTCGAACTCGTCCAATAAGATCACGGCATTGGGGTGTTGCATAAGTACCTCCTTCATGGGTGATTTGCCCTCGTATCCGGGTGGTGACCCGGTAAACGACTGTACACTCTCAGCACCAGTATAGGCGGTCATGTCAAATGTAATGAAACTCCGCTCGTGTTGCATGACATCTGTGGCTTTTCCTAGTATTGCCGAGCCAATGCGGTGCGCAAGCTCGGTTTTACCTACGCCACTGGGCCCCGCCAAAACTATACTATTGATTGATTTAATGAAAAATATCAGTCTGAAGCCAACGGTGAATATGTAACTATAG